CTGAATCCACACTAAACTTGACTATTGGTGAAGTGGATTCTGTTCCATAAACATCTGTCATGCTGATGTCTTAAATATTTGAAGTACCATAACATTTCCTGGTTGCTACATGGATTTGTCTCCCAATATTAGATATTTTGCAAACAAAATAGTGTAATTGACTCAGGATGTATCTACATGAAACCTAAGAACCATGGAAAGACAACTTTTAAATCATTCAAGGATTCTATAAAAACATTTTTTAATGGCAGGTATAAACAGAATGATCCCTTTGAGAGAACGTTCAAAGACTGAAGAAGATATTCTCCGGGCAGCATTGAAATTTAATGGCAAGAAAACTGGAAGTAACCCAACTTCCACCTCTGATGATTCTACCGGTTTGGAATGGGAGAATGACTTCGTTAGTGCAGAAATGGATGATAACGGCAATTCAGAGTATGCCGGATTTGTAAATCCTGTTTTAGAACTTTCTTCAACAGACCAAAAAACTTCTGGTGTTGATCAAGAAGTGAGATAATGAAATTGGCCATTGGGTGCCTAGCAGAATGGCTGAAATTGGAAAACCTAAAAACCTGTATGGTGCACAATCTTGTAATCACTGCTGCTGCTGCTACTGCTGCTGCTGCTGCAAAACTTCCTTTTACAATAAGGAAATGATACAGTGACTGCTGTTGGTGACTGAGCTCCAGATTTCTAGAAAAAGAAGGAATCTATGCTATCTTATGTCAATTAAACAATATGGTTTGCTAACAATTGTGGTTTGCTATCTGAACTGAATTGTAAGTGCAATTTTTATAATCTACCTTTTAAATGTTTATACTTGAATGATTCTATTATGTCTGTTTTTAGTTTAAGCATACAGCAGCCTACATTAAATATGGCATTACAGTTGAATGTTTTAATCAATTGTCCTAATTCAGTCTTTGGCTGTTTTTTTTTTCTTTAAATACAGTGGTATCTCAGTACTTATCATTAATTGATTCTGGGAGATACAATGAGTACCAAATTGATTTTTCCCATAAGGAATAATATAGTGAGTCATAAGGCAGCCAACACAGACAAGTTCTAGCTTGTGCATTGAGTACTAAACAATGAGTACCAGGACAAAATGTTCACATCAAAATGTATTGAGTACCAAATTCAATCAGTTTTAAAGCAGTTGAGTAACCAAAGTACCGCTATACCTACATTAACATAATTTTAGCAGGAAATCTGATCAGCACATTTGTACTTGAAGTATGAAACTAAGAATAGGAATTCTACTATGGCTTCCAAAAAACATAGGATGCTGCCTTATATTGAGTCAGTCTTGATCCATATAGCGCAATCTTCCAAGCATTGGCACTACTTTCCCAGTTCTCTTGATGTTTCAAGCAATTCCCAGATTTATCTGGAAGTGTTGATGACTGGACGTGGTGAAAGCAAACTACATGTTCTGCTATTCAGCTTAAGCATCCCTAACAGTTTTACTTTTTTTCAGTTTAATTTGGTTTGAAAATTAAATAAAGTTTGGGATGTGTTTTTTGTTTATTCCTCCTTGCGTTTTACTGGGATTAAATCTCAAGCACAATATCTTACATTTGAAAGCATTTTCTTTATAAAGCTAAAGCATTATAAATAAAATTTATCATGGCAGTAATGAGCCATGTAACTACAGAAATTTGGAAATATTGAAGACATCTTTCTTTCAAAACATTGGATACCAAAACACAGAGGTTTGCATTTTAAGGTTCCACTGTTCTTCCAAATTAAGATGATAAACACTTCTAATATAAAGTAGTTACTTAATTTTTAAATTATGTAAACTATTGTCTAATAATTAGTAATTTAGTGCTCTTCTGATTTGTAAAATATCGACAGTATGAATATTTTCTTGGCTAAATCAATGCAAATGCACATTCCAATCAAAATATATCTTTCTGAAGTATGTGAAACATTCCATTCTTGTAATTTAAACTCAGTTTATCAGAATTAATAACTTCTGAAAATGGATAGTGATGACACCATTAGTCAAAAAAAGGTTACTTTTACTAGTATGGTTCAATCCCCCCCGAATCCTTGTACTTAATTGGTTCTAACCACTGAGACTAGAAAACTTATCATAAAACTGTTTTTCTGATGAGACAAAAACTGCGTTGGAATGATGGTTACATTTGTATGATAAAGTAGACATGTCTCTCTCACAAGTATAACCATTTTCAGAGTATAGCAATGTAGTACTGTAAATCAGGGAGCAGCAGTGTTTACTTCCATACCTCCTTGGGTTGTTGAACTTCATTTTGTCTTACTGGTCATGCTCTAAGCTTCCTAACAAGAGTTTTCTTGCAAAGCATCAATAATGAAATGCCATAGACACGCATAGACAACATGAGGGCTTCTAGCAGCTGCTGCTACAGTCAAAAGGAAAACCAGAACTGCAACACTGAAAATCATTTGATTTTTAAGTTTGTTTCCTTCAAGTTAAGTTTGACACACGCAAAAAAATCTCTTCATGGACATGAAAAAACCGCAAGAGTTACCTTCTCCAGCCCACCCACCCACTTTTTTTGTTGTTGTTGCATGACAACAACATACAGAAGTTGCATGACAGTTTTCTTCCAGTATCTTTTTTCCACTTCTCAGTCTATACTACAGCTATCGTATTGACTGGAATTTCTGTCCCAAGTACTACTCAGATCTGACCTTAATTGGGTTCTAAGGACTGACAAAATTAACCAGAGCTGCCGGCTGCTGAACAAAAGCTGAACATCTCTTTGCTACCAAATGCAGTAGTGGTTTCTAAAACCACTAAAAGGCATACACTAATGACTACATATGTTCTACTTGGTAAGCTTGTGCTTGGCATTTGTCTCTTTTCTGTTCTGTAACAAAGTTTATTACTGCCACATTGATTCATTTAACTTTTTTATAGATTAATTTATAGGTTATGATTCCAGATTCAGAATATTTATTGTTTACATTAATCACAACTCGAGTTATGGGTTTGAAGAGGGCAACAACAGTAAATAGTTATGATATATTTATATGTAAAAATTTAATGTATACTAAGGCCATCATTTGATTTCTTTTCCTGTGCCTTTTATGTTTAAATTAAAAGACAAATTTTATCATTCACAATACCTTACACAATTTTTTTCTTCATATATTGCATTTCTAAAGTAGAAGTTTGCTGCTGAAAAAAATCGAGTTCCGTATTTTCAGTTCTTGGAATATACTTCATAAGAGATTTTGTACAGTGCAGATATAGATATAGATATATATGTATGGTTTAATATGATTTCTGTCACTTCATAAATGCATAAATCCTTAAATGTTTAGATTTATCAAGCTGTGAATAAATTTTTTACACACTTCATAACTAGCCTTATATTTTTTGAGTCTTATTGTTCCATTATAGAGGTAGTCCGCAACCTAACAACACTTTGCTTAGTGAACGTTCAAAATTACATCGGTGAAAAAAGTGATTTATGATTGTTTCTTACACTTATGACCCTGTGGTCATGTGATCAAAATTCAGATCCTTGGCAGTTGGCACCTTTTTATGATGTTGCAATATCCCGGGCCATGTGTTCCCCTTTAGTGACCCTCTGACAAGCAAACTCAATGCCTTTTACTGATTATTTTATGTAGATGTCCGATTATCTTTTGATTTTGAGATCTAATTAGTACACATTTTAAGAAGTTTACTGACTTAAATGCCCAAATAAGTCCATACTAAATAAGCAAACCCTCACACCATTCAGGACTTTAAATATTTTTTTAAAAAATTAAATTGTTTTCCAAGTGTTAACCACATCATTGGGCAAAATGGTTTTGGGGTTTTTTTGTAAATTTTATTTGAGTTTTCACAAAAAAAACCCATCATTTTTGAAAGTAGCGTAATCCCGGTTTACATTTCTTTGTACAGACACATTCAATTTCATGCTCATTTTTATGTTCTATTCCACATCTTATTACTGTTTTACATTTTCTACATAGCTTCTCCCCTCTTTTAATTTTTTTCAATTTTATTTTAATTATCTCGATTCAAATCATTATATTTGTATCTTTTGTCTGTCCTATTTCAATTTCATATTATCTTTTCTCATTAAACAAAGTTTCTCCTGTAGCTGCTGATTGGAGTATGACACCTTTATATCTTTTAAGTTTATCCATTTAACTCTTATTTAGGCTTCAATATATACCTTAAAGTTTTAACATTCAATATAATACATAACCTCCATTTGGATTCTGCTTGGTACATTTTTAAAATACATACTATATTCTTAAAAAAATATTATAAATATATGTAATTAAAACATCACATTCCATTCCAATTCAATTCTATCATTAATGTTAATATTCATTAAAATCTTAACTTCCTTAACATTATTTTTCAATTAAATATCATACTTCTATGGGAACAATTATAAACTTACCATGATTAATTCCCCCCCTTCACATATTTTATAAAGCATTAACTAATTAAAATGTTCCCATTCCTTCCTAATTCAATTTTCTCATTATTTTATTTCATTTATTTTATCAACAAACATTTCACTAAATTACATTAACTATTTTATCCCACATTTTAATCATACATTGTTTCCAATTTTCTAAAGTTATTTCTATTACTAATATAACAATACAATCTTATGTACCTTTACAGAATCCCTTTTTCAGTTAAATTTTCACCCATTATCTCTAAATAGGCCCTGTTTCTCCATATCTTCTTTCGGTCCTTTGTAACTTCTTTTCCTTTCCTTCTTCCCTCTCCTCTCCCCTTTCTACTCCCTTGTCTCTCTACCTCTATTTTTCTCTTCTGTATTACCCTCTTCTGTTGCTTTCCCCAAATACACGCAAGATGTTTCTTTTTGCTTTTTTTCACTTTCTCTTCCTGGGGTTGTACTGTTTAGTTACAAAGTTTCAGTTAAAATGTATCTTTTAGAAGGCTTGTTGAAGTTTTACTGTAGATTCCTTTCAATTCCAGACAGTCTCCTCCTTCTTTCCAGATCTTGCCCTTTTATTATTTTTCTCTCCTTTCCTGCTTATGGAAAAAAATTTAGTGTCCAGGAATCTTTATCATCCCTTTGACATTTTGTTTTATTTTCAGCTTAATTGCCTGTTGATACCAAAGCGGATTTTTCCAATTTCTTATTTAAGTCTCTTAGTTGTCAGTATAGGGAAAGGGAGAGAAGGAAAAAAAACCCAAACCTTTCCCTTTTCACTCTCCTTCGCTGCTTCAGACTCTTCTTTGGGAACGAATGTTATTTTTTTGTAAGTTTAAATTCCAGGGTACCTTAGTTGTTGCTTTTGCAATTTAACCCGGTCAGCCAAAACTTTCACTTCTTATCTTCCTCCTACACATTCTTTTCTGGTCGAGTTCTTCTTTGGGGTGGCCATTTCTGACCACCTCTGCAACTGCCTTTGGGAAAGGGGGTAATGGCCAGCTGAGGAGAGATGCGGCTCTCCTCAACCCTGCTGGCAGTCTCCCCCCTCTTCACCTCCTCTACGGGATGGCTTCAGGGATGGCCCTGAAACCAGCTGGCTCGGGGCGCTCCAGCAGCGAGCCCAGACCGAAACCATGCATGATCGTGGATTTCTGTCTGTCGCCGAAGCTCAAACTGGAAGCCACTCACCATTGGGCAAAATGTTACTTAAAGATACTTATAAAAACAAACCTATTTCTCTTGTGTTCATCAATTTAAAACACTGAGTTATCAAATGCTTTTATAAGTAAAAGATAAAATATAGAAGAAAATGTTGGGAGAAAAATGGAAGCATTAAGTTCTTTGTACAAACATCAGTACAACTTGGATCTAAATACAGAGAAATAATTAGAACTGCAGAAATAACAATTGCTACCAATCTGCCTTCCATTGAGGATCTGTATACTGCACAAGCCAGTATAGAGTCTACAGACCCCTTGCATCCTGGACAAACTGTTTCAACTTCTACCCTCAAAATGTTATAACACTGCACATTATAACAACCAGACACAAGGGCAGTTTTTTTCACCCATACCATCACTCTGTTAAACAACCAATTCCCACAACACTGTCAAACTATCTAGAAAAGCAGTATTACCATTATTCTCATCTTCCCTATTACCTGTCTTCTTATGTCTATAACTTTGTTGCTTTTATCTTACCCTTTATATCGTTTACTTAGTATCCAATTATGATTTATGTTGAGTGCTTATTTAGTATCCATGACTATCACTAAATGTTGTATCTAATGTTTTACGATGAATGTATTTTTACAATGACTATGATAATGATCTATCACTACTGTTGTGTATACACTGGTTTAGACAGCTTATGCACTTGAGACACAATTCCTTTTGTGTCTAATCACACATGGCCAATAAAGAATTCCAATTCCAATAAAGAATTCTAAATAGCTGCTGCGAGTGGTTGATGGAAGGAAGTTTTCAAAGATAGCAATATTGAAACAATATTTATTCAATTTTTATGATTGGCCATTCATCAAGTGCCTCTTGTAGCTCCAGAAAGATGCTGGTCTATTGGCAATGCAAGTGACGATACAGATGTACAGATATCATTTCAACTACCATAGCACACAAAGTAAAACTGACCACTGAAATTGTTTTCATGGAATTTTCCAATTTATTCATTCTCATCCATCTCTGTTGGAAATTGGGCATACGAACTACTTTCACATACTGGTTTTTTCAAAACTAGACTTTTTTCTTGTAATAGTGGCATCCTGGCCAATTCAAAACAGATGTTAAAGTAGTCTTCACATTGTCCTTCTTCTTTTTCCAATTGCATCTGGTAATCTCCAAAGCAAACCATACATTTATCTGGTAGATTGACTTTATTTAAATAGGCCAGTTCAACACCATCCACGGTTAACTTTCCCTTTTTGCTCAAGTTCTTAATTTCAAAACCAAACTCTGAGCTGTTGAAGTGCCTGAAAAACTGAAGGGCAAACTGAACCCGTGAAACCCGTGAATCTGCAAGGTGAAAACAACAGATGTTTGAATCTCTTCCAAATTTCACTATGTCATCTGCTCTCAGCTGTTGTTGGTGATGGAAGCTTAAACCCCGAAAGACTGCTTTTTCTTCTTCTTTTGGATGATAAATAGTGATTTGCAGACAAGTTATAGGCTCTTCAGTATCTTCAGTTTCAAAATCAGACATGGCAGTAAATCCTAAAAGAACAAAGTATATATTAAAATCATTTTAAAATCAAATTGCTTGACAACTACTGGATGTCCTGAAAAACAACAACAAAAAACACCTCCCATCAAAAATGGAAGCAAACTGGCTGCAGCAAAGTCCATTTTGATGGGAATCATAAACATTTGACAGGGATGGAGGCTACAAGATTTTGTCCCAGTAAATTTAAAATGGGGGCAGATCTTCAGATTAGATTTTAATTTACTGGGGTTTTTTTTATACTGCATAGTAAATATTGATTTAACTGATTGTTCAAATACTGTCATTTATGGAGAGATTCAAAGTGACCGTTATGGCTTTTAAGACGCCTATCCATCATCATAATTATAAAGTCATGGCAGCACATAAAGTTAAAAACATACAGGCAGCACAAAAACTATTGCACAAGACATAGGTTTATCTTAAATGCAAAACCTGAAACTACGTTTAGTTTGAGGCTTAAGACCAAGCATCCTCGTCCCTTTCCCCGGGGGATCTACAGGGGTGCCGGGGCATCTATTCGCGTTGCTTCTCCTCCAAGAGGGAAAAGGGTTGCTGTAGAACTTTTTACATGCTTTTCGGCCAGGCGTCCTCTTTGACAAACTTCTCACTTCGCTCAGCTCCGCGTTCCCAGATGGCGGAGTCCTTCCCCGCCCGCTTGTCTTAATCCTGTTTGTGTCTGCACGCAGAACGGAGGCCCTTCCCTACGAGAGCTTCCACTTTCGCTTCTATTTCCGGTGGGGTAAGTGGAAATCTGCCTCCCACGAGAGCTCAAGGCTCTGAAATTAAGCGGGGCTAAAGATTTCTTGGCTAACAATCCACTCCAGCCCGTTCTCGTCTGAACTTTGCCACGGGGCAAAAGGCCAGGTGAGCAGACAAGTCTTACTTTAATCCAGGCGTCTCCAACCCTGGCCACTTTAAGCCTGGGGGACTTCAACTCCCAGAAGGCTGGGGAATTCTGGGAGTTGAAGCCCCCCAGGCTTCAAGTGGCCAAGGTTGGAGACCCCTGCTTTAATCCATTGCTTCTCCCCGTCCTTTTCTACAGCGTGGTTAGTTTTGGGTTTTCCATGAGTATATTCGCGTCAAAAGGCGTCGTCTGAAGTGGGACGGGTAGGGGACTCTACCGAACTCTTTTATATATTAGAAATTTGAATGATCAAAGCCTACATTCGGTAGTTCAGCTTCGAAATGGGATTTGTTTTGCCTTCCTCCTGGGACTCACCTTTTCAAAGAGCTCTCCAAAGCAGCACCAGCACCAGCAGCACCAAAGAAAGAGAGCGAGAGAGAAAAGCGGGTATCTTTGGAAGAACCGGGTCCGCCAGGCTCGCGGGAGAAACGGAGTGGCGAAAGGATGCCGCGCTGCGACTGCAGAAAAACATCCTCCGACTTTCGCTTTCCCGCTCAGCAAAAGGGGAGGGAGGGGGTAACGTTAAGGGAAGGGGACGAGTCTTAATTCTGGTGCGTAACCGA